GACTGAGCTATCCGGGCTCTTGCCTGAGATGCGTGCGTGTTGCGTGGGAACCCACATAAAAATGAATCGTATCGGCTGAAAAAAAAATAAAAGATTCTCCCATGCATCGCATTCAATTCTTCGACGATTAAGAACGGCCGTCCAAACGTCTGCTATGTCAAAATATACTTGCGCATTAGTGGGAATGCAGCCTATTAGACGGCTAATAATAATCAACCGACGATAATGCTAGGAAAAAGAACAACATCTCACTGCTTCTTGTCTGGAAAGCATCTTTACATGCTTTAATGCTGTTGACTTGCCGCGCTCTTTTCGTTATTGTAAACTTGCTTCAAAGGCGCAGTTGTTTGGAGCAAATAGCAAGTCCACTGCACTCTAGGTAACAGCCAGCGAGTGTACTGACACCTAGCGATTAGAAAGTATACCAGCACCATATTCTCTCTGAAGCAAGATTCTTCCAAACTAAATGGGAGCGTTTGGTTTTCAGTCTTTTCTCTGAGGGTTCAAACCTGAGAGCTCGTGCTCTCAAAGAAGGTCCCAGTGGCAATTCACTCAAACATCCAGAGCACGTCAAGGACGCACCGTGCAACAACAAAAAAAAGTGGTCTGACGGACGGGGTGAGGAGAGGTGGTAACGTGGAGCTCAATTTCAAAGGCACCCAGAAAAACTTGCCGTGACCCGTATTCGAACCGGGTTTGCTGCGGCCACAACGCAGAGTACTAACCACTATACGATCACGGCGAGCTACCGGTCTCCCCGACGTGTGGCTGAGTACAAAAGGGCCCTTGTCATCTTTAGCTTGCAGACAAAACTATTCCTTGCCAACATAACTCTTTTCAAGGGTAATATTGTCACAGTGACTTTTTTTCTTTTCCTAAAGTTTTAGCAAGGTTTCAACCTAAAGCAGGCGCATGCTGTCAAACGTAGTCGGCAGGATTCGAACCTGCGCGGGGATACCCCAATGGATTTCTAGTCCATCGCTTTAACCACTCGGCCACGACTACAAGCTGCCTGAAGGGGGCTTGTCATTTCGCTTGGTGCCTTGCAGCGTCGCTGCCCGAGGCCAGTGCAGGTGCAGTGCACGAACTCAACAGCAAAACGTAGCCCTCCTCAAAAAAAAGAGGCTCGATCGCCCGAACAGGGACTTGAACCCTGGACCCTCAGATTAAAAGTCTGATGCTCTACCGACTGAGCTATCCGGGCTCTTGCCCGAGATGCGTGCGTGTTGCGTGGCAACTCACATCAAAATGAATCGTATCGGCTGAAAGAAAAAAAAAAGATTCTCCCATGCATCGCATTCAATTCTTCGACGATTAAGAACGGCCGTCCAAACGTCTGCTATGTCAAAATATACTTGCGCATTAGTGGGAATGCAGCCTATTTGACGGCTAATAATAATCAACCGACGATAATGCTAGGAAAAAGAACAACATCTCACTGCTTCTTGTCTGGAAAGCATCTTTACATGCTTTAATGCTGTGGACTTGCCGCGCTCTTTTCGTTATTGTAAACTTGCTTCAAAGGCGCAGTTGTTTGGAGCAAATAGCAAGTCCACTGCACTCTAGGTAACTGCCAGCGAGTGTTCTGACACCTAGCGATTAGAAAGTATACCAGCACCATATTCTCTCTGAAGCAAGATTCTTCCAAACTAAATGGGAGCGTTTGGTTTTCAGTCTTTTCTCTGAGGGTTCAAACCTGAGAGCTCGTGCTCTCAAAGAAGGTCCCAGTGGCAATTCACTCAAACATCCATAGCACGTCAAGGACGCCCCGTGCAAAAAAAAAAAAAGTGGTCTGACGGACGGGGTGAGGAGAGGTGGTAACGTGGAGCTCAATTTCAAAGGCACCCAGAACAACTTGCCGTGACCCGGATTCGAACCTGGGTTGCGGCCACAACGCAGAGTACTAACCATTATACGATCACGGCGAGCTACCGGTCTCCCCGACGTTTGGCTGAGTACAAAAGGGCCCTTGTCATCTTTAGCTTGCAGACAAAACTATTCCTTGCCAACATAACTCTTTTCAAGGGTAATATTGTCACAGTGACTTTTTTTCTTTTCCTAAAGTTTTAGCAAGGTTTCAACCTAAAGCAGGCGCATGCTGTCAAACGTAGTCGGCAGTATTCGAACCTGCGCGGGGATACCCCAATGGATTTCTAGTCCATCGCCTTAACCACTCGGCCACGACTACAAGCTGCCTGAAGGGGGCTTGTCCTTTCGCTTGGTGCCTTGCAGCGTCGCTGCCCGAGGACAGTGCAGGTGCAGTGCACGAACTCAACAGCAAGCGTTGCGCTCCTCAAAAAAAAGAGGCTCGATCACCCGGACAGGGACTTGAACCCTGGACCCTCAGATTAAAAGTCTGATGCTCTACCGACTGAGCTATCCGGGCTCTTGCCCGAGATGCGTGCGTGTTGCGTGGGAACCCACATCAAAATGAATCGTATCGGCTGAAAGAAAAAAAAAAGATTCTCCCATGCATCGCATTCAATTCTTCGACGATTAAGAACGGCCGTCCAAACGTCTGCTATGTCAAAATATACTTGCGCATTAGTGGGAATGCAGCCTATTAGACGGCTAATAATAATCAACCGACGATAATGCTAGGAAAAAGAACAACATCTCACTGCTTCTTGTCTGGAAAGCATCTTTACATGCTTTAATGCTGTGGACTTGCCGCGCTCTTTTCGTTCTTGTAAACTTGCTTCAAAGGCGCAGTTGTTTGGAGCAAATAGCAAGTCCACTGCACTCTAGGTAACAGCCAGCGAGTGTACTGACACCTAGCGATTAGAAAGTATACCAGCACCATATTCTCTCTGAAGCAAGATTCTTCCAAACTAAATGGGAGCGTTTGGTTTTCAGTCTTTTCTCTGAGGGTTCAAACCTGAGAGCTCGTGCTCTCAAAGAAGGTCCCAGTGGCAATTCACTCAAACATCCAGAGCACGTCAAGGACGCACCGTGCAACAACAACAAAAAGTGGTCTGACGGACGGGGTGAGGAGAGGTGGTAACGTGGAGCTCAATTTCAAAGGCACCCAGAACAACTTGCCGTGACCCGGATTCGAACCTGGGTTGCTGCGGCCACAACGGAGAATACTAACCACTATACGATCACGGCGAGCTACCGGTCTCCCCGACGTATGGCTGAGTACAAAAGGGCCCTTGTCATCTTTAGCTTGCAGACAAAACTGTTCCTTGCCAACATAACTCTTTTCAAGGGTAATATTGTCACAGTGACTTTTTTTCTTTTCCTAAAGTTTTAGCAAGGTTTCAACCTAAAGCAGGCGCATGCTGTCAAACGTAGTCGGCAGGATTCGAACCTGCGCGGGGATACCCCAATGGATTTCTAGTACATCGCCTTAACCACTCGGCCACGACTACAAGCTGGCTGAAGGGGGCTTGTCATTTCGCTTGGTGCCTTGCAGCGTCGCTGCCCGAGGCCAGTGCAGGTGCAGTGCACGAACTCAACAGCAAGCGTTGCGCTCCTCAAAAAAAAGAGGCTCGATCACCCGGACAGGGACTTGAACCCTGGACCCTCAGATTAAAAGTCTGATGCTCTACCGACTGAGCTATCCGGGCTCTTGCCCGAGATGCGTGCGTGTTGCGTGGGAACCCACATCAAAATGAATCGTATCGGCTGAAAGAAAAAAAAAAGATTCTCCCATGCATCGCATTCAATTCTTCGACGATTAAGAACGGCCGTCCAAACGTCTGCTATGTCAAAATATACTTGCGCATTAGTGGGAATGCAGCCTATTAGACGGCTAATAATAATCAACCGACGATAATGCTAGGAAAAAGAACAACATCTCACTGCTTCTTGTCTGGAAAGCATCTTTACATGCTTTAATGCTGTGGACTTGCCGCGCTCTTTTCGTTATTGTAAACTTGCTTCAAAGGCGCAGTTGTTTGGAGCAAATAGCAAGTCCACTGCACTCTAGGTAACTGCCAGCGAGTGTACTGACACCTAGCGATTAGAAAGTATACCAGCACCATATTCTCTCTGAAGCAAGATTCTTCCAAACTAAATGGGAGCGTTTGGTTTTCAGTCTTTTCTCTGAGGGTTCAAACCTGAGAGCTTGTGCTCTCAAAGAAGGTCCCAGTGGCAATTCACTCAAACATCCAGAGCACGTCAAGGACGCACCGTGCAACAACAAAAAAAAGTGGTCTGACGGACGGGGTGAGGAGAGGTGGTAACGTGGAGCTCAATTTCAAAGGCACCCAGAAAAACTTGCCGTGACCCGGATTCGAACCGGGGTTGCTGCGGCCACAACGCAGAGTACTAACCACTATACGATCACGGCGAGCTACCGGTCTCCCCGACGTGTGGCTGAGTACAAAAGGGCCCTTGTCATCTTTAGCTTGCAGACAAAACTATTCCTTGCCAACATAACTCTTTTCAAGGGTAATATTGTCACAGTGACTTTTTTTCTTTTCCTAAAGTTTTAGCAAGGTTTCAACCTAAAGCAGGCGCATGCTGTCAAACGTAGTCGGCAGGATTCGAACCTGCGCGGGGATACCCCAATGGATTTCTAGTCCCAGCTGCCGAAGGATAGTCCGACAATATGGGGATAATGTTGAACAATGTTGAACGCCACAGCCAATCACGTAGACGCGCTATAACATTTGCAGCCAATCAGAGAGCGCCATTCTTGACATTTTCTTATAATTTTCGACATTTGACCAATCAGAGTACAAGATTTTCTTATAATTTTCGACATTTGACCAATCAGAGTAAAAAGAAATCTCGACGGCACGTTTATGCTTATCACCGCTAGGTGAAGTCAGGAAGATAGCCAAGTGTCAATCAAGTTGCCGAACTGAGCCGAAAGTGTACGGAGCGGTACGAAGTGATGATCCTCAGGGGCGTGTCAGAGGTAAAAAAAGTTCAGTTAGACGTCGAGCATCACTGTCAGGGGGGTCAGGTTGCATAATTTGAACGGAGGACTGCGAAACAAAATTTTCGGTAAATTTAACGTTATTTTGACGTAAGAATGTCGGGCAAAAAATCCCATAAAGCCATGTCGGATGCTGACTGGATTTCAAGGCTAAAAAAGTTTGCCAGCACAGGAGTTTGGCCATCAAATGAGGGTAACAGGCCAGCTCCTCGACAGAAAAAGTGGCATGACGTGTATCAAAAGGTGAGTGTGCTTTTGTCACCTTTGCATGGCAGTAAGGAATAAAAATGACATTTGAATGTAAAAATGACATTTTAATGACAAATTCAATTCGTACCACTGTAGTTGAGGTCAATAAAAACATTCATGACAAAGTTATAATGGCCTCATGACCAACCACATAACAGTTTAATGTAATGTTAACCTATAAAGCTAAGTGGTTTCTTAAGTTTGATAATTAATCTGCTATGTCATGTTTATGACATATTATGTTATCTTGGTATTGTCAAGTTGTTATGACACTGACCAGTTATGATGTATTGGTTAATGTCAAGTTGTCATAACAAAGACATCTCAAACAATGTCATATTTGCATTAAAAATGTCATAATTGACCGAATGACACTTAATGGCAGTTGTCATAAACATGCATAAAACCTCCTTCATATTCATGATTATGAGGGTGTCATGTCAGTCTTATGCACACCCCTTCAAGTAAAGTGTTACCGTGTGAAATGTTCCTCACTCTTTCTCTCTAATTTTACAGTTTGTATCTCCCCTTCAAAGAACATGAATAAAAATAAATATGACACACGTCATGGAAAATGACAGTAGATTAGTTTGCCATTCCGGTTTAGTTGAAATGCATGTATTGTGTATATGACATGTGTCATAATGTTTACAGATTGAAAAATGTCCGATGCAGTCTCGCGGCCAGACGACCTTGTTCAGAGAGGTCCCAAAGTGCACGTGTGGTTTTCACACTCAAAAGGTAACAATGTGAAGATGTTGCAAGTATTAAAACATAATAATAATAATAATAATTTACTGAATAAATGTTTCTCGTTCAAAAGTGATTGAAGCTGATGTCTTTTTTGGTTGTCTTAAGCAGGCCACAGTCTCTACTGGACAAGCACCAATGGTTGTGGAGCAACAGTCTGCCGCTACTGGACCAGCACAGGAGGTCATGGAGCAGAGTCAACCTCAGCCTCGACTCCAGCCCCAGCCACGGCCTACTGCATCTGTGACATCTAGGATAATACCAAGTTTGTCAATGGTAATAACATTTTTATTAATACATGTATTATTAATTCAGTCATCATGCATCTACTTTCAAGTATAACCTTAATTACTGTTAATAAACACTTTATCTTACAAGCTATGTGCAAACTAGTTTTGAATCAATGTCATTTTTAAAAGGTACCTGTTGAATTACAATAATACTCACATTCTAGCAATGTCTTCCCACTCATTTTTCTATTCTAACTGTGCTTGCTTCAATCTATATAAGTAGCAGAGGGTTGTAATATGAACAAATGTACAGCAAGAAAGCAGTTAATTTAGTTATATGAAATATTGAAACAACAGATATTTTCTCATTTACCAAAAATGTAATTATATTTTCTGCCACTGTGCTGTTACAGCTTATTTTGTCATTTAGTTGAAATTGTTTTGCCCTATTTTAGTTTACCAAGCCAAGATTTGGTGGGTCCCACATTTCTGCCGCAAAGCCAAATCTAAGTGTGTCTAGGAGACCATCTCAGGTTGATGACCAACCCAGCACAGCAGTGTCCAGTGCCCCTACACCAAGCACCACTGTCTCTGTAAGTACTGGCATAATCCACATTGCATTCTATGAATACACATTCCACTCCTGTGCACACATATCTTGTATTCCAGGAAATCTTACAATAATGAAGTAATAACAGTACTATATACTCTTTGAATTAAATAGATTTTATGTACAGTACTGTTCAAAAGTTTGTGTGTTCAGTAAATTGAGACTTTTTTTCAGCAATGACACATTAATAAATACATTTGAAAATACATTAAAATAAGCAGCAATATTATTTCCCAGTATAACTGTTTTTGACTGTATTTTAATCTTCTTTCAAAAACATAAAATAAACTTACTGACCCCAGACTTTTGAACAGCATTGTATAATTCCATCCAGGATGAGTTACAATTATTGGACAGGTATGTTTGACTGTTTCTCTTGTTATATATACAAAATCTATTATATTTCACTGCATGATTTTACAGACACAAGATCCTGGAGTTCCAGCCTCTGTCCCCAGAACCACTGCAGATGTGACCAGTCCTGAGTCTTGGGGTATTGTCTCGGTAAGCAATTTCAAATTCTATTGGTCTAAAATAATTTATTTTGCATATTAACTGTCACAACTCACTAGAGTCGCACAAAATAGCGCTAGCAGCTGACACAATTCTGAAAACATTTGGAACAAATGTACCAATTATATTCTATTACCTTAAGTACGTAATTGACATCCAATATTTTCTATTTTATGTGAGGGTAGACTTGGATAGATAAAGCGCTAATTAAATAAATGACCTGCTAGACTAAATGTTTTTTTCTTTTTCCTTCACAGACTGCTCCTTCCGGGGCGTCATTGCAAGCTCCATCTGCAGTTCGACTGCATCGTTTGTGGTCGGAGACCTTGCCGCCAGAGGACCACAGGTGGATTGCCAGCAGGCTTTTTAAAATGGGGCCCAAGGGAAAACCAGAGCTTCGAGACAACCTACAGCTCTGGTATTACCCACCACAGCCAGCACTTATTTATAACCAGGCTCCAGCTCCAGACAGATTTTTTTGTCATGCTCTGTTGCTGTGGATGCCGTACAAGCTGTGGAAGATCAAGGCTGTCTGTCCCAATTCTGCTTGCGGGCAGCATCAGCTAACAGGAGGCGGTCTGCACAAAAGGGCACGGCAGGTTCTGGACATCGATAGGATGTACAACATGGTCACAGAAACCCTCATCTGTACCAAATGTAAAGCCTCGCATGTGTCCTGGAGTCAGACTGTCCTGCAACAGCTGGATCTGGGTCATCGCTCTGAATTTCGGGTCATCCTCACGCGGAAGTAAGTACACTTTCATTCCACATCCAGTTGATAGACCATCACATATATTTGCAAATATTTTACAAATCAAACATGTAAAATATATGAATGTGTGGATTTTGCTTTGCCTTAGGTATGCCTGTGATATGAGAGTCATTCGGCTCCTGCGTGAGCGTGGCCTAGGCAACAGTCCCACGCGGGTCATCAAACAGCTGCGTGAGAACCACAGCGAGGAGTGGCTCCAGCGTATGGCCCGGTACACCACCCAATGTGTGGACTTCCTCAAACGACCCGGGGTGTTGCAAATACCATTCCAGGAACCCCCAGAGCCTACAGTGGTGCCAAGCTGCAAGTGGCTGCTCACCGTGTACAGCCAAGACATCCTGACAAGACTGGATGAAATCCATGCAAGGATAACATCCACATATGGTTCAGTCTTGAAGATGGATTCCACTAAAAAGGTTAGCAGGGGATTTTTGTTCATTTATGGTGTTTACTGTTATATCATTATCAGAGCATGAGTATCATATTCTACATGGTGTGATGTTTCATTACATTGCATGCTTCCTGTCATCTACTGCAGATCACTAAGAAGCTGGCTGGGACGGCAAGGGGAACGGGACTCTGGCTTACCTCTGTTGGCAATGAGTTTGGTCAGGTGCTCATGAGTGTGCTGACAGCACAGGAAGGAGCAGGACTGGACATGATGGTCGATGGTCTGGTGAAAAGGTACCAGCAGGCTAGTGTGGATCCACCTGCTGTTTTGTATGTGGACTGTGGCTGCTGCACTGATGTGGGTGAGACCAAGCTGAAAACCAGATTCAGAGGTTGGCCTGATCTCATGATTCGCTTGGACATCTGGCATTTTATGCGCAGGATTGCCGTGGGGTGTACAACTGATGCCCATCAGCTGTATCCCATCTTCATGTCACGGCTGTCAGCGTGCATTTTTGAGTGGGATGCGGCTGATGTTTCTATGCTTCGCAAAGCAAAGAGAGAGCTGTTGATATCCCAGGGTTGGCCTGCGCTGACAGATGAAGATGTCAACAAGCATCTTACCAGGTATGAGCTGGCACTCCATTGCCGGAGGAGGACCTGTGGAGAGGAGACTACCATCCTTCTCCTTGAGCGGCTGCTCACAGAGCTCCTGAGCAGCAAGGGCAAAGACTCCCTGGGTGTTCCTCTCCTGGACCGAGAAAGGATGGAGCACATCTGGAATGTCCAGAAGAAGCATGTGAAATGCATTCAAGACCCCCCTGGTGTTGTGCTCTATACAGAGACAGGGAGTCTAAACAAGGGAGGCGTTCTTCTGAAGACCTACAGATGTGCCAGAGGCTCCACTTCTCTCGAGTCCTTTCATTTACACCTGAACCGTTTCATCCCAGGTATTGTCTTTGTCACACACACTGTGCATGTGTAAAGAAAGAGCATTAAGTGTTTTGTATGTTTCTTTAACACCCCCTAAACACTGTTGTGTCTATTTACAGGGACCAGTGCAAACAGTCTGAACTTTCAGATTTATCTGCTGGAGGGTCTACACCGGTGGAACCAGGACCGGGAGGCTGCTTCCCTGTCATCGGAGCCATCAGCTTTGCGCAGCTACACAGGAGAACTTGTTCACTGTGTAAACGGCAATTATGAAAAGCTGTTTGGCAGGAAAGTGGTCCCCACGTTTTGTCCCCCTGCATGTTACACCGGTGAGAATTATTGTATATATTTTTTATTTTATCAACTTGCAATTTCTGTGTAACCTCCGTCTATATGTCAGATTTAATCCTATAGAGTCGATTGTATCATAATTGATATGCAAGTTTCTAAAGGCCTCTAAATGATCAACATGGTCAAAACTTTTCAGGAAACATGGCCTCTGTCGTCTGATTGATTATAGTCTTTTAATATAATTGTAAAAGTGTATACCTTCAGCTCGTGCTTCACGTTTCTTTTCACTGTGAAACCTTTACTGATTTTTATAAAGTAATTGTAAGAATAACTTTTATATTGTTAGTAATATGTAATGACTGTAATATGTAATAAATATGTAATGACAGCTTGGGTTCACTTGATTAGAAAACCATGTTACATGTAAATATCAAAATTATCATCAGACTTTTCTCTCAGTCACCATTGTATTGCATTTCATTTCATGTTTTGCCCCCATAATTAAACGTGTTGGGCCTCTGAATAAAACTGTTTTTTTTTTCTCCTTGACGATGAGCTCTATATTCTCACACTATATGAGCTAGCCTAATACAAAAGCCTAATGTATCAAATATGATACACAACATTCTATTTAATTTCTGTTTGTTTATTGTTTTTATTTCAGGTGAGCTCATTGGAGTGCAGTATCTGTTCCAGCAGACTGGTCAGGCACTGCAGGACATGAATCCAGACTCTGAGCAGACAGCAGAGCTCATTGAGGACCTCAGTGTGGAGGAGCGAGATGAAGATGAGGGCTTCTGTGACATCAGCGAGGATCACACAATAGCAGATCCGGAGGCTGTTCTGTCACCACCCTCTTCCACACTGACACTGGGTTCTTCCACCCTGGTCACCAGCAGTGCCACACCTGTACTGGGCTCCACATCCCCTTCACTGGTCCCTGACCCCAAACTTGTCCTCACACAGTCTCCTTCATCACCTGGACCCTCAGGGACTGCCGTCACACCTGTTCCCTCTGAAACATCTGTTTCAACTCTCCCCTCAGATCCAGAGGATGCTGGTCAGGATGATGATGAAGAAGAGACGGTAAATACCAGTCCTTTGCATGTCTTTCAAATTAACTAGAATAATTATGATGAATTAACATCCAGTGCTTTAAATACAGACTTTCCACATATTTTAAATGTAAAAGTACAGCCTAAATTCATTTGTAAGCTGCAAATACACATCAAGTCAAGTCATCTTTATTTATTTGGTGCTTTGTAAAGAACATGTTAAGAAAATGTCAAGAATGGGGCTCTCTGCTTTGTACTATACAGTGCTTTACGGTGATAAACAGGAAAATAACACAATCAGTTATGGAATTATGCATTAGACAGATGTGATGTAATAATTGTATTGCGTGTTTGTGTTTTTTAATAGGCTGTTGACTACCAAAATGTCCCGGGTTATCAACATGTGGACCAGCTGGCAGAATATCTGGTGGATCTCCGGGCCCACACAGCCCTCAGCCTGACCAACCAGGAAGCCAACACCATTATTGCTCTTTGGCAGAACCTGGATGACCGGGACAAGGAACGGGTGGTGTATGACAGTCGATGCCGAAAGAGACTGCTGAGTGGACGCTTCAAAGTCCCGAAGAGGCCCACTCACCCTGGTGTCGAGAGCACCACCAGATGTGTGCTGGGTGCAAGCAGCTCACCTGCTCAGTGGCCTGACTGTTGCCGTCTGGTGGAGACCATCTTCATCAGACTTTGCACTGTCCACCCAAGCCCTAAAAGAAAAGGCAAGGGAGCCCTGTCAAGATGGTCTCTGATCCTGCAAGACTATCGCAGGATAAGACAGCTTGTACTGGGCAACAGCTTGGTGATGGGAGGAACATCGATGCAGCTGGTGGAGGTTAACCAGAACACCCTGATTCAGTGGTATAACAGAAGACAGAAAAAGCAGGAGCTGTCTGTGCTGCTTCAGGGTATTCAGTTGCCTCAGCCCCTCCCTGAAGCTCCAGAGCCTCTCCAGGTTGCCAAACGTCTACGGACTGAGCCAGAACAACCAGGGGAGCAGCACCAGTACAAGCTACCAGAGAGCACAGCTGGTCAGGCAAAGCAGAGGCAGACTTCTGTTGGGCGACCCCCTCTCAGACCCAAGGCACCAGCGCAGAGTCAGATGTTGCTGACACCATCAGCACCTGGAGCATCACTGCAGATGGTCCCAAATATACTCATACCATCAGCACCAGGTTTCCAGGGTGTGCCAATGTTTCAGGGTGTGCCAATGATCCAGGGAGTTCAAATGATCCAGGGCATCCCAATGGTCCAGGGGATGCAAATGATACAGCCACTGTTACAGCCAACAGCTGTACAGGGCACTCGCTTACCCGCTGCACCAGCTGCCAATCCAGACGCCATGCCCAAGAGACCCTACAGGAGAACAGTTGCGGCCAACACTTGCAAAAAATGTGGGCAATATAAAACAAGTGCAACAGGTCATAGCCAGTACAGGGGCAGGGTGTTCTGCCCACAGACTGAGACTGTTACAAAAGAGGTGTGGTTAGAGGAAATGCGCAGAACCATTCCCAAATAATGTATATATTTTCATGTACAGTATATAGCATCATGTATATAGTGTGAACAGTTGTTTAAATAGTTAATACTTGTGTTGAATATTATTTAATTTTGTTTTTTTAACGTTATTTAACATTTTAACTTTTTATTTCTTGTTTTTGAAAACCTATTTAACTTTTCATTTTATTTATTTATTTTTAAAACATGTTACCAGTATTTAACATATTAATATTCATTACTGTTCTGTTGGCATGATTGGAAAATAAAAACAAATTGGCAAGTGATTTCTTTTTGACTTTCATATATCACTAGTTCATCAGTACACTGCAACAATATAACATTTGTATATAAAAAGATAATTTGTACATTTTTTTATTCTTGTGATTGACATTTTCAGCATATTAGTAACTATTTAATGGGTTGCATTTTGTTCATTACAAATAACAGTTTTGCAAGTTTCTTGTTTGAATGTAACCTAAAAAAATGCTTAATTAGATCAATAATAATACAACAACTACTAAATAATATCACTGTTTCATTGGCAATTATATATTTTTATAAAAGAATATAAAAAAAACACAAACAAATTACATATGTATATTTTATTAACACTGGAAAAGTATGCATTAAAAAATTAGCTTATTTTCTTTTACTTTATTATAACAGAATGTGCTCATTTACTTTCATATAACACAATATTTCATCAGTACACTGCACCAATATAACATTTGTATTTAAAAAGATAATTTGTACATTTTGTTATTCTTGTGACAGACATTCTTCATATTAGTTACTATTTAATGATTTGCATCTTTCTTCATTGCATAATAATGCAAATAACATTATTTTTCATGATAGAATATCAAAAAACACAACAAACAAATTAAATATGTATATTTTATTAACACTGGAACAGTATGCATTCAAAAATATTGATTATTTATTCAAATAATACATATGACAAAAAGTTGTCTATAGCTGGATTCGAACCCCGGTCTTCGTGAACAGCTGCAATAGAAAACAGTGTGATATAAATGCGTGATTTTCACACACGAAGAAACCGGAAAATCTATCATAAGACCTATGCTAATGAAGGTATATCTTTGAACATCAAATTTCAGCCTTTCTTTTCTTCATTTTTTCTTTCTCTTCTTCCCCCTCTCTTTTTCTTCCTTCCCCCTTTTCTTCCCTTCTTCCCCACCTTTGTTGGACTATTGTTCCCCAGCTTGTGTGGTTAGAGGAAATGCGCAGAACCATTCCCAAATAATGTATATATTTTCATGTACAGTATATAGCATCATGTATATAGTGTGAACAGTTGTTTAAATAGTTAATACTTGTGTTGAATATTATTTAATTTTGTTTTTTTAACGTTATTTAACATTTTAACTTTTTATTTCTTGTTTTTGAAAACCTATTTAACTTTTCATTTTATTTATTTATTTTTAAAACATGTTACCAGTATTTAACATATTAATATTCATTACTGTTCTGTTGGCATGATTGGAAAATAAAAACAAATTGGCAAGTGATTTCTTTTTGACTTTCATATATCACTAGTTCATCAGTACACTGCAACAATATAACATTTGTATATAAAAAGATAATTTGTACATTTTGTTATTCTTGTGATTGACATTTTCAGCATATTAGTAACTATTTAATGGGTTGCATTTTGTTCATTACAAATAACAGTTTTGCAAGTTTCTTGTTTGAATGTAACCTAAAAAAATGCTTAATTAGATCAATAATAATACAACAACTACTAAATAATATCACTGTTTCATTGGCAATTATATATTTTTATAAAAGAATATAAAAAAAACACAAACAAATTACATATGTATATTTTATTAACACTGGAAAAGTATGCATTAAAAAATTAGCTTATTTTCTTTTACTTTATTATAACAGAATGTGCTCATTTACTTTCATATAACACAATATTTCATCAGTACACTGCACCAATATAACATTTGTATTTAAAAAGATAATTTGTACATTTTGTTATTCTTGTGACAGACATTCTTCATATTAGTTACTATTTAATGATTTGCATCTTTCTTCATTGCATAATAATGCAAATAACATTATTTTTCATGATAGAATATCAAAAAACACAACAAACAAATTAAATATGTATATTTTATTAACACTGGAACAGTATGCATTCAAAAATATTGATTATTTATTCAAATAATACATATGACAAAAAGTTGTCTATAGCTGGATTCGAACCCCGGTCTTCGTGAACAGCTGCAATAGAAAACAGTGTAATATAAATGCGTGATTTTCACACCCGAAGAAACCGGAAAATCTATCATAAGACCTATGCTAATGAAGGTATATCTTTGAACATCAAATTTCAGCCTTTCTTTTCTTCATTTTTTCTTTCTCTTCTTCCCCCTCTCTTTTTCTTCCTTCCCCCTTTTCTTCCCTTCTTCCCCACCTTTGTTGGACTATTGTTCCCCAGCTTGAACGCATCGCCTTAACCACTCGGCCACGACTACAAGCTGGCTAAAGGGGGCTTGTCATTTCGCTTGGTGCCTTGCAGCGTCGCTGCCCGAGGCCAGTGCAGGTGCAGTGCACGAACTCAACAGCAAAACGTAGCCCTCCTCAAAAAAAAGAGGCTCGATCGCCCGAACAGGGACTTGAACCCTGGACCCTCAGATTAAAAGTCTGATGCTCTACCGACTGAGCTATCCGGGCTCTTGCCCGAGATGCGTGCGTGTTGCGTGGGAACCCACATCAAAATGAATCGTATCGGCTGAAAGAAAAAAAAAAGATTCTCCCATGCATCGCATTCAATTCTTCGACGATTAAGAACGGCCGTCCAAACGTCTGCTATGTCAAAATATACTTGCGCATTAGTGGGAATGCAGCCTATTAGACGGCTAATAATAATCAACCGACGATAATGCTAGGAAAAAGAACAACATCTCACTGCTTCTTGTCTGGAAAGCATCTTTACATGCTTTAATGCTGTGGACTTGCCGCGCTCTTTTCGTTATTGTAAACTTGCTTCAAAGGCGCAGTTGTTTGGAGCAAATAGCAAGTCCACTGCACTCTAGGTAACTGCCAGCGAGTGTACTGACACCTAGCGATTAGAAAGTATACCAGCACCATATTCTCTCTGAAGCAAGATTCTTCCAAACTAAATGGGAGCGTTTGGTTTTCAGTCTTTTCTCTGAGGGTTCAAACCTGAGAGCTCGTGCTCTCAAAGAAGGTCCCAGTGGCAATTCACTCAAACATCCAGAGCACGTCAAGGACGCACCGTGCAACACAAAAAAAAAGTGGTCTGACGGACGGGGTGAGGAGGTAACGTGGAGCTCAATTTCAAAGGCACCCAGAACAACTTGCCGTGACCCGGATTCGAACCGGAGTTGCTGCGGCCACAACGCAGAGTACTAACCACTATACGATCACGGCTAGCTACCGGTCTCCCCGAGGTGTGGCTGAGTACAAAAGGGCCCTTGTCATCTTTAGCTTGCAGACAAAACTATTCCTTGCCAACATAACTCTTTTCAAGGGTAATATTGTCACAGTGACTTTTTTTCTTTTCCTAA